GGCAACTAGTCACCAGCGGTGTTCCTCAGGGCTCAATTCTAGGGTCAGTTCTCTTCAGCATATTTATCAGTGATTTGGATGCATGAGTTGAATGCACCATTAGTAAGTTCGCTGATGATACCAAACTGGGAGGTGCTGTTGACTCTCTTGAGGGACAGGAGGCCTTGTAGTGGGATCTAGATAGACTGGAGCATCACGCTGTGATTAATAGGATGAAATTTAAAAAGAGGAAATGCCAGATTCTGCACCTAGGACAGAGTGATGCCAGGCACAAACATAAATTTGGAGAGAGATGCCTGGAAAGCAGCCCTGCAGAGAGGGACCTGAGGGTGCTGGCTGACAGCAGGCTCAGCAGGAGCCAGCAGTGTGCCCTGGCAGCCAAGAGGGCAAACCTCATCCTGGGGTGCATCAAACACGGCGTAACCAGCTGGTCAAAAGAGGTGATTATGCCGCTGTATTCAGGGTTGGTGCGGCCTCACCTTAAGTACTGTGTGCAGTTCTGGGCCCCACCATTTAAGAAGGGTGTGAAGGTCATTGAATGTGTTCAGAGGGCAACAAAGGTGGTGAAGGGGCTGGAAGGAATGTACTATGAGGAGCTGCTAAGGACTTTGGGCTTGTCCAGTTTGGAGAAAAGGAGGCTGAGGGGTGATGTCATTGCTCCCTACAGCTTCCAGAGGAGTGGAAGTGGAGAGGGAGGTGCTGATCTCTTCTCCCTGGGATCCAGTGCCAAGACACATGGTAATGGTTCAAAGCTGTGCCAGGGGAAATTTAGACTGAGTATTAGGAAGCATTTGTTTACTGAGAGGGTGGTCAAACACTAGAACATGCATCCTAGAGAGGTGGTCAATGCCCCAAAGCTGTTAGTGTTTAAGACACATTGGGACAATGCACTTAGCAACATGCTTTAACTTGGTCAGCCCTGGCAGTTGGACTAGATGACCTTGTAGGTCCCTTCCAACTATTTATTCTTTAACATTCCTCACTTATTTTAACATATTTTTACAAGAACTACACATACATCATCTTCAATCAACGGATAGTACTCTGAATAATATGAATATATAATAGACAATATAAATGACACTCTCAGATCCTTTCCCTCAGAAGGGGAAAAAGACATCAAGAAACATTTGATGCATTTAGTGCAAATCTCATTCTAGCACAGACTCTGACCCCTGAATCCTGGGAATGGCTCTAATTTGAGCTAGCCCACAAGAGTATTTAAGGTTCGTTTTGTCTCCTGGGTATAATTAGAGAAAAAACTCGCTGCGTTCATGGCTTCTGTATGTTATCCAGCCACTTCTCTAGGCTGAAGATAATTTCCCACATTTTCCCTGTGAAAAAGACTACAGCAACAGATTTGCTAGTACAGAGTGCTCTGATTTTGCAGCACTAAATATCGATTTGAGACTTACTCAGCAGCTGCCTTTTGGTAAGTCTCTGGATTGAGCCTAGTTATGTTCAATCTAAACACTCAGTTCTCAGCAGCAGCACAGATAGAGCCTCACCAGACATCACACACAGATATGTCAAGTAACCAATGTTACGTTAGACAAGTTTTAATATTTACACTCACCCAGGCTAGCTGTAATCTCTCAGACTACCTTAGGGCAACAGCTGTTTGTAAGGGAAGCACTGTAATTGTGTTTACTTCTATTTTTCCAAGTAAGGTTGACTTTTCTATGGATATTTCGTTTCAGGGGAGACTTCTGGCTTCTATGCTATTAACTGCCTCTTAAATAGATATTTTTTTTTTTGCATAGGTAATGAACCTTAAGACCTTCTACAATGTTCATTTGAAGCCAGTATAGATTCCTGTCATCCTGTTGAGACTTAAAATCTGTAAATAACCCTTTTATGGATTTTAAAATTGTTTTGTACAAAAGCATGCATAAATATATGCATTATATACAGTATATATCTTTATATATCAAAATATTTCAGGAATCACCACGTCAAAACGATTTTCAAAAAGAAAGTCATAACTGAATTGCACCTGCTTGGAAAATACAGCCTTGACTATCACATAGCAACAACTGTTCACTTTCTTCCAAATGTGATCCTGAATGGTATCTCACTCAGGCAGCGATTATTAAGCTCTTTTGTCCGACAGTATGTGGGGTTTTTTTTTTGGTTCTACTTTTAGAAGTCAGACTGGCAGATACATAATCAAGCTTTGAACTCTGCTCCATTGTGCTTTTTGTCAAATGCTCTAACGGTTGTGCCTGCCAACACATCGTGTCTCCCCTGCTTACATGCGTTTTGCAAGTGACATGAAAAAAAAAAACAAAAAACCCTCAAACAATCTTTCTGTATACTCAAAAATGGAGATGTAACATTTTGTTAGGATAGTAGGTGGACTATGGTAACTCAGTCCTCCTGGGCATAAAAGCATGAAAGTTTGCACACCTCCTTAACACCCTAACCCCATAGCTTTAAATCTGTATTTTGTTTTTATTAACATCTGTAATACTGCTACATATTCTGTGACTTACAGAGCAATGGGAGTATCGAATTTTTCTTTCAAATTCTTCTCTAAGGCAGTGTGACTCAAGGAGGGAGCTGATCAGCAGCTGGACTGTTCCACGCCACCCCACGCCCTGCTCAGAGCATGCCTGTGCTGCAGGGTATGGTGCCTTGGGAACTACCTTACTGACAGCTTTCTCAATGACAGTAATAATTTGACACACTTTATCCCATTAACAGATGCCTTCTCTACTAGTACAGTTACAAACGGTGTATTTCCATTGTGTTTCATTTACACTCATCATTCTTTATGTTTCTTTAACGGGGTAAACCTATTGCAGTAATGTCTGAATTCTATTTCAGGTTGGATTCCCAGCCACAGAAGTTGCACAGGATAGAAATGGTACCTTTGCAACCAGTGTAATAATAGGGAGATACAGCTGTATCACTTGATTTGTTCTCAATTGTTCAAATATCTTTCTGAAAATGTGAAATTAGATTAAATAAATGTCCAATAATCCACCAACCTTTCATTTGTTTTTCAAGCTCCCCAAAAAATCTGTTATACATCTTCTCATTCATGAAGTGCAGTAAATATCAAATACCATTAATAATTTTCCCCTTTTTGGTCATACTTTACCATAGGCCTCTTTGCAAGAATCTACTGTTTGTCAACATAGAATGTTTTTCCGTTCATTTTAATATTTCACTTTTCTCCCTCTTCCATGTGAGAAACTCCTAGTTTAGTTTAGCTTCCGGAACCATGTGCTTGCAAGGGATCTGCTTTACTCCACTGAACAGAATACAAGGAGCTGGCAAGAAATTCTGGAAGGTTAAGACTGTCACCACAGTTCCAACACTTAAGATGAATTTGAAAGGAAGTAATAATTGACAGTTCAGTGGAGGCTACATTATTTCCTTGGCCGAGTTGTTCTCCCTGAGTGACTAAGAAGTTGCAGTAAAGAAAATTGAGACTTATTTTTCAAGTGGCAGTGCTCAGCATCTTAGCCAAACATGTACTACCTACTCTAAAGTCCATACTAATTACTGATTTACTGGTATTGGTACCCAAATTAGCTAGATTCAAGATAGCACACAGATCTGTCTGTACTACAGCTATACCTTCCAGCTGAATGCACTGATAGCTTCTCTAGAGAAACCTTGGGCTTTAATGATTCAAAAAACAGAAGCTTTTTTTATTTTCTTTGGTAACAAAGCAAAATGAAGGAACGTACTCTCTCCTTTCTGAAAGAGAAGAACAGAAGGAATCTTGGTTGTAGTACTGCCATACTTCTTCAGCACTGACCTTGGAGATCCGATCATCAACACAGGAATAACCTTCTTCAATTTATCTCCACACTAATTACCCATTTATGTTCATTCAGAAGTAAGAAAGAACATTGCAATATAAATTATACAGTGAGAGCAACTTTTTAAAGACGCGAGTGAAATACTAAACTTTTTAATAATAAAAGCTAATATTTGACAAATTTTTAGAACACCTTTATCACAATTTTTTAGCTTTATCACAAAAGTTATGTCAAATGTGTCATTCTTTTAAGGATACTCAAGTAATTGTATTTAGAAAATGGAGTATATAGAACCTTTTGTCTGTCGATTGTTTAGGCTTTGGGTCAAAATACAATTTAGAACAGTTATGGATTGAAGGATGTTGCAGCTAACTTTTCCCAATTCTACTACTCTAGAAAACCTTGTCATAAGAATCCCAAATGATAAGCCACTGTGAAACACACATAAACTGAAGAGGATATACACTGAAACAGAGAAATGAAACTAAGGACAGACTGAGATGATTCCCTTCCTTTCCTTGGAAACAGGTCCATGAGAAACTAATGGGAAAGAAATGATGACTTTCCTCAAAAATGTGTTTTAGAAAAACCAGCATATTCTTAATAGTTCTTGATAACCATTATTTGTCTACAAAAATATGATCCTGTACACCTTCACTGTTTGGTTTTGCTTATTTTTAAGAAGTCCTATTTCAATTTTGTGGGACCAGTGTTGCCATTAAAAGACACATATATAGTGCATTATTTAAAAACAAATGTGCCTTTAAGCACTTGCCAGTGAATAATGAACCTTTATTTACTATAACACCAGAAGTTTCCCATCAGAAGAAAAATCCCCCATTCTCAATAACTCATGCTCTGCCGAATTGTGTAGATTCTTACCTGCAATATCCTTTTCCTTAACTACAACACAGAATCATGTTACTTCTGTCAGGAGTAATAAAACACAGTTAAGAAATAAAAGAAAACCAGTTATCCTTGGATAGATAAAACAGGCTGACACTGAAAGAATCACAAAACAAAAAGCAAGTTGCTCTCAGATATTCGGGTTTTTTTCTCCAAAATACATGTATTTATCCATCTATACAAAAGTCACGTGCTACAGAAATATTTAATATTATCTTTAGAAATCTCCTGAGGCACACCTAATGCTACTAGTAGTTCTTCAACCTCATTAACAGTTAATGCCACTGATAGCTTTTTCTCTGACAGTTTAGTTGTTACCTGAAGCTGCTCTTCCAGTGCAGCAGTAGCTCTGTCTCCACTGTTTTCATCTACCACCACTACCATGTGGGTTAGAGAATTCACCTTGACTTGTTCTTGTTCCAAATCTTCTTGAAATGCCTATAATTAAAGTATAGACATTAGAATATGTGTTCCAAATTAAGAAAATGCTGTGAGTTTGGAGTCCCACTGCCTGAGTAACTTGCATAACTAACCAATTATGAGAACTTCATAATCCTATTGCTGTCAACACTAAGTAATTTAAACGTATTTTGTTACCTTAGCAAATATATGCTAACATAAGCATATTGGGCATATTTCCACTCCTTTCACAAAAATAGCTTACTGTCACTCATAAGTCCTGATTCTTGATACAATATTTCAGACTGAAAATTTGGCTTGAAAAAGCATTTGTTGAGTTGATGTAGTTGACTTACAGATATCAGTATAGCATGTATACATATACCAATAGCTCGCAAGTTTTAAATAGTCACTGGATTAGACTTTGTACTTCACATTAACATATTAAAATATTTAAATTTTTCAAAAGTTATAAAAATTATATGATTTTTCATTAAATAACCACACACTATCTTCAGCTTGGTACTCCTGCAACATTAACAACATAGGCTGAAGCTGCTCAGGAGATGACTGAAGACTGGGAAACACACGCAGGGCCCTTGTTTCACTTATTGTAGAAACCAGGAAACAAAGCGAGAGATGCATTTTATCATTTCTCAGTGTCTGAGGAAAAACTTCCTTCTTCCTTGCCCTTTCAGCTTTGATACCCAGTTCCAGATTGAAGCTGCAATAAAACTGAAAACAATTTTCTACTGAGAAATAGTAAACTGCTAAAAGTGAAGAAACTTCTCTTAATTCGGCACAAATTTCTATTTGAATAATTCCTAAACTTGCCAAGTTTCTACAACTCTTCTCATCTCTCTGAACCTCCCACAATTTCCCCGGCTTCGTGTAACAGTTCTAATTGTTTCCTTCCTCCTCACAGTGCACAGAGAAGTGCAATGCAAGTCTAGACATATTCACTCTTCAGATGATGGTTTACAGCATATTCACTGTATACTTAACCTACATCACAAAAAATAAAAATAAAAAAATCTGAGATATTGTAAAGTACTGTAACACCCTCTTGGTTGGTTGTAGTGTCTCCTCTTACTTCTTTTTTTCCTTCTTACTTGCTGTGAAAGATGGAATCCCCACTTTGCTATAGTGTGTTAACAAAACCAAAACCAGCTCGGCTCCTGTCAGGCACTAGGAAACTGAGCATCCAGATGTATTTGTTGCTTCCTTTGCTGAGGTGCAGAAAGAGGACAGGCGACACAGATGGAAAGAGGAGGAGCTAAAGAAGTGTTGGTATTGAAACTTCAAGCCACAGAGAAGGCAATGTTCAATTTCTTTTCGTGTTTTTTGTTGACTATCTCGAGCTTTATATTAGTGTGTTAACAACCATATGTACATTTTAAATTCCTGACAGTTAACCATTGCTTTACATCACTGGGTTCTGTGTTCTGTTTCTCAAATAAAACTTGAACCAAAAACCAAAAACAAAACCTCATCCCACTCCCCTGAAAAAAAACAAGGTATCCAGGACCACATCCTGCCTGACACACTTTTTAGGTGTCTATAACTAGCTTCAAACCAACAGAAGAATGTGGGAAACCAAAGTCCTGGATTGTGTCCTCAATACTTCAGCAGAGTGTGTTCTAGAGATTAGTACATTTATAGTATGATAGTCACAGTCTGAAAAATAACATGGCTAACCACATATGCCTTATCACAATGGAAATCTTGACTGTATTACAAACTATGTTGAATTTCACCATATTACTTTTTCTGCTGCTTTTACAAGTAGAGTAATTCACTTAGGTGTGAAGAAGTAGCCCTGGCTGAAGATTAGGTGATGCACTTTAAACTGCTTTGGTAAAACATCATACTTTTATTTGAAAATTAAAAAATAAAATATAATGTGGCTACAGGCAATAGGAAAGGAATTCACAGACTACTTTGTTTTTAAGGCACAAATTCTTTACCTTAACACATTTCAGAGTTTTAATTCCTTCATGGGCCTAGCCTTTAAGCCAATATATTTATAAGAATCCTCCTTTTTCTGACTTTTATGCCTGCAATTGCCATTTGCTTCAGAGAGCTAAGACTATAAAAAATTCTCAAGGACTGTGAAGTACACCAAATTGTAAGAGCAATCCCTGGAATTTGGACTTCTCAACATTTTATGACCCAACACTTGATCAAGGAAGAGGAGGCAGAGCACTTGTGGTCCGACCGTGTAACACAGCTTGCTTCTCCCAGTTTCAATCCTCTCTTTCAGCCGTACAACAATAAATCCATTGCTCTAAGCATACAGTCAGGGAGAAGGTGACTTTTATTTCCTGTTTAGTGGGTATCTGAGAGATGGTGTCGCAGAATGAAATTAGTTAGCAATGCTTTGCAAGCGCAGGAGTGGAGAGCACTTTGGAAGTGGGAGTCTTGAACACCTTGTGAAAGATTTGACAAGTCAGGGAACTGATGAAACCAGAAAGTTGAGTCATTTTCTAATCCCCAGACAGATTCAATTTTCCCTGAGCTAAGGGGCTGTTCATTATAATTTAAGTGTCTATTTTTACTGGGAAGTTCATTAGCGACAATCGTTTGTATACAGGAGCTTGTTGAAACAGGAATTTACTGAGGAAAGTCTCAAGACTAGGGCATTCTCTGTTCGAATAATTTAAATTGAAGTTTCTAACAAGTTCTCCTAAGACAGCAAATTTTCAGGGACTTGAAATGTAAGATGGATATAGATGTTGATGCATGGAGATAGCAACAACAGAAGCTCATAAAACTCCAAAGTTCCTTTAATTCCTGTCTATTAAGTAACAACTTACACGACTCCAACATAATCCACTTCAAAGTGAATAAAAATACCTAGCTAGGGCATCCAAGTAGCCAAAGACAAATCCAGCCCTGATATTTGAACAGTTAGGAAGTGTCTTATTTTACCTTTGCAATTAATTCAAAGTACTGAAAAATCCAGATACTAAAATTTTCCATACCTTCGGACATTTTCATAAAAAATAAAAAGGCTCAGTCTTCCAGAAAAAGTACAAATACCTAGGCAGCTTAGATTTTTTTTTTTAGGAAGTTAATGAAACTACAGAATCTACTAACTATAAATTGTACAATAATAATGTGGAATAATAAAATAAGCTCAATTAAAAGCACATTTTTGCTTAATTATAACATTTCTAATATAGTATTCTGCTTAGACAGCTCAATAGTCTTCAGATTTTTATTGAAAAGCAGCTTTCTCCCTTTGTAAAATTATAAAAGGATACTTGCAACAGCAGACAAAACACAGAAAACACTGCTGCAATGACCAATAGTTCTTTATTGAAATGTTTAACAGTTACTCCTAAAATACATTGACTATGCCAGATTTTTTTACCAGAACTGTGTACCTTGCTAATGACATAACATCTTCTAGAGTTCACCTATATTTCAGTCCACTCAGAAAATTTTCTGTACTATCAAGATACTAACCTCAAATACTACTGAACTAAGTAGCACACTGGAAAGAATGTTGTGTGCTTTCTCTGGTGATGGGTGCCATTCCCAATACACACTACTGAATTAATTTTTTTGTTGTTACAGTACCCAGCTAAGAAACTGAAGTGTTAGTCAAAAGACCACTATATTGAGACATCATTGAGAAAAGAGTAGAAGAAATCAGATATATGGAAGTTGTAAGTCAAAGGAGGATAAATAAAATGAAATAAATAGACTGAAAAGAAGTTACTAATGAACCGATAAAGAGGGAAAGCAAAAATTATAAAGGTAAAGAGAAGAGGAAGACAGGATGACAACAAGACAAACCTATCATCTTTGCTGAAGTCTGTCCAGTTTAAAATTACCATTGCCTTTTATGCCTTCTAACTACTCGTTCCTTCCATCAACCTATACAACACTGCTTCCGAGATGTCCAGTCATGTGAGATTAAGAAAAAATATGGGGGTGGTTGGATTTTGCTTTTTTGTTCACTCATTTAATAATGAAACATAACTGTGCTATTAAAATCCCACTGTTTTAACGCTTGTTATAGAAGGTAGTTTTGCTGCATACAATATATAATAAAATTATCTGCAACTTTCACAAAATACTTGCAAGAATGGAAAACATCTTCTTCTTTGACTTCAGAATAAGATCAATTAAAATTCTATTCATGTATAGTTTAAGTTAAACAAAACCTTATTAGCTAAATTGTCTCTGGTACAGACAATAGATTTGAAAAGTAATACACAAATAACTGACTAACCTATCACACCAAGACCAAAGAACTGTGAGAGTGGGATATTTCTGCATACCTTCACTCAGGATATTAAAATACAAGGTAAATAGCAATTTTTCTCAATATTAGAAGGATACAGCATAAAGAGATTGCATAAATAAAAGCATTACATTTTACATTAGAATTCAAATACAAAATGCATAGAAACAGTAAGTTATTCAAGTCTTAGCACTCATATATTCAAAATTTTTCAAGTTTTTTTCTAATTACATTTTCACAATTACCTGCTGTCTTTTTTCAAAAAAAGAAAATTTCATGTCAGAACATATGCTTAGTGAGCAAACCTGCATACTGAAATGCACTGTCTCCTCACAGGCCAAGCATAGATAGGACAAATACCAGCAGTAGGTGTAGCATTGTTATTCTTCTTCGGTAGTACTCCTTAATCAGAATGCAGAAAAATAATTAACACAGAATTGGATCGTGCAGCCTTTTCAGCTTTTGACCTCTTTTTAAAAAAACTGTAAAAGCTGTTTTAAGTTTGAATTGCTTTTCGGGATGATTTGCCCTCTAGAACCTGTGTCTAGCACAGACAAATTTTATAATCTTTCAAGATACTATGGAAGTGGACTACTTTGAACCACTGATGTAGAAACATTAACAGGTCAACACAGCAAATTTCCATGACCTCACAAATCATATCTGTTTTCTAGTTTTCTGTCTCTCTCTATCATCACGGGATACTTATATAAACATATTTTATATATTTTTAAATTGAAATTAATATGAAGCCAGAAAATTTAATCCAGTGAATCAACAAAGCTAATATACAAATTACACGGTCTCTCTTTTTTTCATTCTTAATTTTCCCATTTAAAGAATTACCCTCATGGAAGGTGGAAAAAATTTGGCCAAATTCTCTCTTACATTCTATTTATTAGTTTCTTATTTTTCATTAATTAAATATATTACTAAAAAGTATTTTCTAAAGTTAGAAACTAGAGTCTATTTTATAGTGGCTGTACAGTTACATATTCAGAGTCCCAGAAGTCCTAACAAGATCGTGCAGTCCAATCTTGACTACTGCATCAGTGCTACTACAGCATATAAGGAAAAAAAAAAATGCACAACACAAAAAGATGAGAACAGGTATTAAAAAACCTGATACATTCTTATTGTACCATGTAATGAAAGGATGTTACAGATGCTTCACATATTCTAGTATATTGTTTATATTTAGAAAGTAATTTATTTTTTCATATCAGGATAAGTCAGAGTTGTGCGAAAATAACTCTAGAAAAGCTTGTTGATTGTACAAAACAATCAGTATTAAACCAAGAATACGTATTACTTTGTTATAGTCTTATGGCAGGAATAGAGCTTTTAAAATGTCAAAAACTCAGTTTAGTTTTTATGCCTTTGGAAGCATACCATACCATACCTTATGCTCTTCTACTTGACGCTTTAGGTCCTCCAGATCTGGACCTAAAGGCTCCAAATCGATTTTCTTTGTTCTTTCCTCTGTTTTCGTCAACCAGTCAGCTAACTGGGATAGCTGCTGATTCTGCAGATCCATTAGGATTTTATGTAAACTGTAAAACAAAGAAATAATAATTTCAATTTGTACATGAAAGAAAACAAGTCAGAAATATCTATCCGGTGTACTTTTAACAGATTTTCATGACGTTACATCTCAAACCAAAAAACAAAACAAAACAAAACAAAAAAAACCAGTCAAACAGGCAACTGAAAATTTGTTGAAAAAGCAAACTGTTTGGAAACTTTTTTTAGAACCCGAGTACTGTACATAGTACACCGTCTGTTAAAGGTTTGGCCTCCAGTTGTATTTCTGTTAGAATTGATTGTAAGTTCAAAATTTCTACTATATGGTTTCTTGAAGCTTATATTTTCTACTACAAGTACTTTGAAAAGTGCTCAGAGCTGTATTTACCATGCTCCCTCAAATTTAGGATATTAAACAGAAGACATTATTAAATTTTCAGTTATTCAGTGGAGAATACTCTGAAGAATCAAACAGGAGATACTTCAATTTTTCCTGAACAAAATATTTTGATAGCTCAAAAATGGTCTGTCCAGAAATCCACTTAAAATCCTTCACTTATACTTGCCATGTCTATAAATTCTCTAAACTTTCCTAAACAAAATCTTCATCTATTCAAAAGTATTTTAAAAATAATTTGTAAACTATTGCTGAGTGACAGAATTACAAGTAGTTGTTTGTATTACCCATATTTCACACAAACAATTCTTAACTTAGATTTGACAGACCACTGTCCTCAGTCATACTGAACTTGGTGAAACCATTGTATGTTATAGAGTGTTACTTACATCCCAAGCACAACTCTCGAGGCAAAAAGTTATTTCACAACTTTCAGAACTCAGAGATTTGAAAAACTGAATTGAACTTTCAGACTGGAGACAACTGCCGTGTAAGAAAGACAGCAGTCTTACTCTACTCCCTTTATTTCTTGTTGTCTTCTTGCAAGATGCAATCCAAATTAGAAAGCTATTGTAAATTTTTTCTCTGTGACCAACAGTACCCAGAATTACCCAACATTACACTGACACTTCCCCCCAAAAGGATGCACTAAACAAATGAAACATTACATTTTCTCCCACAGAACCTGCAGAACTGCAGACTGGCAGAAGTGCGACGTGAGCACACTGCTCCAGAAAAGTGCAGGAGGTCTTGTCTATGACCAGCTAGGTAACTTAAGAAAAGATCTTGCAAAGCCAAACATGCAGTTGTCTCTCACAATTTCAAGGTATGCTCAAGTGAAGCAAGTACTTCTGAGTTTGTCCAGACAATTTTGGGTTTTCCCAAGACAACTCGAACAAACCCAGAAGTGTATAATTTAAAAAATCCATGTCTAAATATACCCAAAGTAAGCATCATTCTGTATTTTCCCAGACACACCTAATAATTTTCAAAGTAATCATCACAGAAGACTGCATTGAACTTGTAGATAATTACTTTTTTATACACATTTAAATTCTTCTGAACTACCAGGATTTAATATTTGCCAATGTCACACACATGTAATATGTGAAATCCCATATCTCATTTGTAGCCTGTTCATATTTTAAGGCACGTGTCTGAAACTTCAGCACTTCAATTATTGGGTGTTATTTATTTTATTTCCTACCTTTTTTTGGAAAAACTGGATCCTTCCAGTTTTGAATCTTCTCAAAATGAGACATATATTTGGTCTCGGATCAAATATTTATGTAATTACTATTTGCTATTTATACAGTTAAAAATAAGTACTGTACACACAATATTAACTCATATTGTAAAAAGAAATTATTACATTTCCAGTACTATTTGATGCTTTCTTCGCATGTATCTCAGCTAACTCATACTCCATTCTTAGAAACTATTCTTCAATTTATAAGCAATCCTTGAGATCAACTATAAATTTAGGAACGCAAAATACTCTGAATCCTGTGTATACAGTAACTATCACATTATATACTTGGGGGTAGAGCTGCCATCTAAAAGGACCTAGACAGGCTGGAGAGTTAGACATTCATGTCGACATCCAACAAGGACAAATGCCAAGTCCCACACCCAGGAAGGAAGGACCCCTAGAATGATATAGGCTGGGGACTGACTGGCTGATGGAATTCCAGCACTCAATCTAACTGAACCTCCATCACTCTTATTTGCTTTCTGTCTCTGAAATGGCCTTTGCTTTAAAAAGAACAAGACATTAGATAAAAGACCTTCTCAAAATAAACTTTATCATGTTTATGCAAACAGTAAATTTAGTATTAGTAAATCTTAGTTAAATAAGCTTTTTTTTTTTTTTTTTTTAATCAAACAGAAGTTTAGCCAGATAACACAAACACATAGACTTCAAATACCCTCAAAGTACCAGGCAACAAGAATGACTATTTTCAAACAGGAGTTCAAATGGATTTATTCAAATATTCCTACGACCTGGGTATTTTAATCATAAAAAATTAGTTGTTACAAAAAAACCTGTTTGCACATTTTTTTTTCCCCCTTAGGGCAGCCATCAACACTAGTAATTTATTTCAGGATTATCATTTGCACCTGGATAGATCAAAAAAAAATTTGGCTGAGAAACAGAAATAATCAGGTTTTAGTAGTAACCATAGGAAGATGAGCCACACCACAGTCTCTTGAAACAGAAGTGGTAATGGTAAGAAAATGTGAAAGCCAGTCTGTGAAACAAAGAAAGGGGGCAAGCAGAACTAAAAGGAATCCTGAGGAGTATGTGAACATGAAGCATATCTTCTAATGCAGAGCAGCAGATAAAGAAAAAGGGAGAAACTGCAGGCAAACACCAAGATAAGCCGGCTTTATGGAAATAAAGACTTGCAAACAAGTTTTAAAAAAATAAAAGTTTGTTCTGAAATAAGGTTGTAGTTACACCTGTTCCTTGAATGGTATCTCACTGGTCCCAGGTGGCACTGACATAGAATTATACAATAGTTTCGGTTGGAAGAGACCTTCAAGATTGAGTCCAACTTTTGTCCTAGCATTAAGTGTTATACCTAGAACTCTGTGAAGCTATGTTACTTTCTAGAAACAGTAACAATTTTTAAAGACTCCAGTTGGCAGCACCTGGGAGTAAAGGGCCAAAGAAACCAAATCACAGGAACAACTGTAAGAAGGAACTGAAATTTCAATAGAACTTGAGACACTGGAGGAAAAAAAAAAAAAAGGTTCCAAGAAATGGGAAGACCACCATTAATGCAAACCTCTAAATTGCAGATATCAAACAGTAATATTTTTCTGTATTATCTCTCTCAAGATTTTTTTCTAATAACAGTGTGTCATGGATCTTCATGTTTTACTATGATTTCAGTACTTTTTTTACAGGAAATCATATGTTAATTATTGATTAGAATGACTAGAAGATAGATGTAGTGTCTTTTCCACTGTAATCTCTCTTTCTTTATGCATAGAGTACAGGAAGTTTACATGCTGCTTTATCATAACACGTGGTTCACACGTGATTAGCTTTCTCAGATCTAAATTAGTCTTCTTCACTTTCAAATGTGTGTTTTATTGTCTTACTTGATGTTCTAAACCAAGTTATTGTAAATGTTAAATATATACTGCTTCATCCTAGAGACACATTTTTAGCAATAAATGAAATAAACAGTATAGAAAACCTGTTAAAGTAAAGAGATTTTGATTTAAGAAAACCAAGATGTGATGAAATAAATACTTATTATAGAGAATATTGATATTATTCTGAAGTAAGTAACAAAATCTTGAAAATTAAATAACTGCAGAAAATAATTTAAGCACAGCTGATTCTTAAGCAAAAGAATGTTTCTTGTTTCTTCCCCTTCTCCAGATATTTCCTGGTTTTCAAATTACTTCTACAAACATCTGATAGAGGTTTTAGTACTTATTTATGCACCTCAGGAGATTGCCATAATCTTTGTTTATGGTATGGCCCTCATAAGTCTCAAATACAAAATACTTTTTCATTGAATGGAATGTATTTTAATAGTTATAGAATTCTCCATAAAGTGGTAAACTGCATTAAGCTTTCCTCTCCAGTGGTATATTTATCACTCTGAGATGCTTTATTATAGAGAATCCTATTTGGCGAAGGGCAAGAGGAAGAAATGAAAAAAATCCAACAGGCTGCTTTCCTTCAGCATATCAATGTACTGCTTGCTAGAAGAGTCAAATACTTCCAATACACACGAATACATGGGAAATCCAATCTGGGCTGATTATACACAAAGACATTGCTGTGTTCCAAACTTCCTCTGATATTCTGACCTCCTAAATCACTTTTTACAAGACCCATTCACTTTTATAGTATCCTTTATCAGTACATATCTTTCTCCTCTCTTTGTTGATTGCTTGCTTTTGTTTCCCCTGTGTTGTAAAGCCTGCTACCTTTTGTTCCATTTTCTATTACCATTACAACAGAGGATAGACAGCCTTGCTGTTCTCATCTTCTCAAAAACCATCTCTATTTGGATAAACATGTCACTGTTGCCTTAAAGACTAGATTACAGCAATGCACTCAGAATATTGTGCTTTAAGCTGAAGCAGAAGATAGATCCTGAGAGTTTAAATTGTGTATAACAACCCAGAAATATATCACACTGTGATATGAAAGCCATTCATAATCCTCCAGCTGGTGCTTGAAATACAGAGGTTTGACTCAATAGGTCAAATTAGCCATATCTAAGTACATCACTCCTGAGAAATTTTCTCTGGTCCTAATCTAAGTTTCATTGAATTTATCCCTTTTTTTTTTTTTTTTTTTTTTTTGTATAAGAAACTAAATAGTAGCACAACATTCTTTGTGAAGCCCTTATCCCTTTATGTCTTCTACTGATTTCATGTTACTTGAATATGATGTGCTTCAGAAGATATTAGACTATCCAATTCTCCAAGCAATGACCTATAGCTGCATCTGGGAGAGCAGTTTAACAATTGGTGTCAAAGGACATTTTGGTAGACACAGTACCACTCACAGAGGTGAGGTTGCTACTTGCATTTGTTGATTTAAAGGAAAATAAATATAGCAAATAAAAACTGCCTACAGTGAAGTATTGTAGAGTCTTCTCTCGAAAAAAATAAAGCTGGAGGAAGATACGTAAAAAAATCTGAAACCCATCAACAATTTTATAGACTGTCAAAGAAAGAATAAAGAAAACAATTTCAATACTCAGTAGCAAGCTGAAAAGAAAACAAACGTTTGGAAGTACTAAGAACACTTTGCAAAAAAAGAGAGCAATGTTATGCAATTGTTGAAAATCACAGTCTGCACTTCAATATTGAGGACAATTCCGGTCCCCTCAACTCCAAAAAGATAAGGTAGAATTGGGAAAAGCTCAAAGAGTAGCAAGATGAATAACCAAAGAGATGTATTGTTGGAGAGAGTAAGGAAAGGTATACATTGTTGACTCTCATTTCTAACACAGTAACTATAGGGAATCACTTAAGCTACCAGTGACAAAGAAAGAGAAGCCATTCCTTAAAAAAGTAGCACTCATTCATACCGAGTAAAAGTGGAACTCATTGCCAAAGGATGCCATGGACGCTAAGAGGTCGAAGGGGATATTGAATAAATAGATGGAAGAAAAGAAAAATAAAATCAATAACAGGTTACTAAATACGCTAAACTGCTTCCATTTCGGGAAGTTACCTCAGCTGAAAACAACTCAAGGTCAAGAGAGTTCTATGGAGAACGTCATAAGACATGCAGTATTACGTCAAAGCAATGATCCATTCAGTCTGATATTTGGTCTCCAAAGCAATGGGCCCATGCAGGCCAATATTTGATCTCCACTACTGGCAAAAGGAGATAAGATGCTGTTTCAGAAGATCATATATCTCCCTCAAAAATTATCTTTTCTTGTTCTGTTACTGTCAAAGGATGCTGGGCTAGACCATTGGTCTGACTACTAGAGATACTCAGCTTTTATTAAAATCACATTTGGTAAAGGAGTCACTCTCCAGCCGTACTGAACAAATAGACACAAGAATTTCTCAACTTAGTACATATTCATTGTGATTTTCTGAGAGAAAAAATAAAACTTCACCAGAAAGATTTTAATGAAGTCTATCTATCTCAAAATCCCTAAAAAGCCGCTAGGGATCTCAGATTCAGGTTGTTTGCCACTGCATTTCTTTGGTTTTATTGAAGAGAAGAGCTACATTCTTCACCAATTAATCCTTCTTGGCTATAAAGTAGCTCCTAGTGACATTCAACTAATTCTAAAATTTCCACTGGATTTGGTTTGGTATGACAGTTTATAAACTTTACCATTGGTCTGCTTTACAGAAAGGCCAGTGAGTGTACAACATTCCTCATGACAAAGACCCAGTCACGTGAGTTTGAAACAAACTTATTATAATCAGACAGGGATTAAAAGCATCCACCTAAAATGAAAAAACAAGAGAGGCTGAGGAAAAATGTGAAAGATGAGGTATGTAACAGACATTTTCTTAAGACAAGGAAGGCAACCTCACAAAAACCACCTTCAGTAACTTTCCTGGTTTAACCACTCTTTGACCTGTAAAACAAATTACTCTGCTGTGGCACAATCACAAGCTTTTAGCTTTATGGAGTTTTTTCTATACTAGATAGCACTATGTAAATCAAAATTTCAAAATAAGACATCGAAATCTCAAAAATGCTTCAAAGACTAATGTGACTAATAAATAGATTATTTTTCTATTTTTATCTGTATTTCTACTTTAAGCTATAGGATTTGCCCTTTTTTGAAAAGTGTAATTTGTCCTCAGATAAAATCATGACAATATTTCCCAGAAAGCTAAGCTCTCACTTACTGTTTTTTATGGTATCAAGTTCTACAGGTCCTAAAGATTTGTTTACCTTTTCCTTTTGTATCTTAGTAATGATTCTCTCCCTTGCAGATAAATATTGTGTGATACTTGTTGAAACAATCAGAAAAAAAGTGAAGTAGGTTATATAAATCTTAGGTAAAGTGATACTACTGTCCAAGTTGTTGATAGCTGTCGATTTGTGCTACTTCTGGTCTCAAAACGACATGAAAGCTTCAAAGTCAGTATACCTCAAATTTCAGTTGGAAAACCATCTCAGGACCCGAGATGGAGTTTTGTTCACATTGAAGTGAAAGAAAATCCCAGCTGTTAGTCAAGTTCAGGATTGTTTCAGTCAAACTCCATACATATTATTTTACCTAATGTATTACTTACTTGCTTTGTTTTTCCATACTTGCTACCCTGAGACTTTCCCATCGAGAGTTAAGTAGATTCATTTGTTCTTGGATTTCATTCTCTTCATCATCTGAAAGTTTTCCAATTGTTAGCAGTTGACTTCCAACTTGCAAAACGTTGCCAACGCGTCCTTGGTGAGCTGTTAACTCCATCATAAAACCCTGACAATAAAAATAAAATCCAGTTTTAAGTTTGATGCTTTTGAAGGAAAGAACAGACTTTGAAGAAATATCTTCAATTCCACCACTTTCCAAACATGATTTTCAACTTTGCCTTTCTTTTTTTTTTTTTTTTCCAAGCCCTCCCCAAACATTGTAACACAAAACAGAAACAAACTCTTTCACTTTTTGCACAGGGCAGATACACAACTAGTGGAGGACTAGTATAAACATATACCTCATGGGTGTGAAATTGTTCTTTAACAACTTCAACATCATTGGATATATCTCCTTGTGCTTGTAATGCATCTTCAGCAGAGAGAAGCCATGTCAGCACTTCTTCTAAAGCAGCTTGGTAGTTTTCAAGATCCATTGCAGTCCCCATTCGCATGGTGCTAAATGTCCTTTCTTCAACAGTTTCTAAGAACTGATCAAAACAAAATTTTAAGAGTAATGCCAATAGTATCTGCTCAGACAGTTCTACAAAGGAATAAATGGAATGTCATTGTCTTGTATAAAGAAAACAGCTTTTTATAAAACAAAAAATCAGATGGCTAACATGTGCAAGTACTTATTAGTATAAAATCAGTTAATTGACCAAGATCAGTTAAGATTGAGTAAAATACAGAAATATCATATTAAATCAGATATTTTACACCAGAATTCAAAATCATTACCAAGCATTCTGAATAGTGACAATATTTAAATCATACCTGCAGAGTGTTATTATAAATGTGAAAAATCTGATTTTTCATTTCTAGTTTACTGGGGTTTTTTGAAAGTGTTTTCTCTTGGAAATGAGAAAGAAATTTATATCCCACAGCAGCTAGTAAAATTATATAATCAAAAAAGCAGCAAGTTGCATGCTGACATTGCAGATAATCTATGTAAAACAATATAAAAAAGAAAAACAACCCTTTACACTACATGCAATGCTAGGCTTCATCAACCCACAAACACTCATTTTGTGAAAACCATTCTAGAAAGTTGAAAAAGCTCAGAAGTTTCATGCCAAATCATAACTTTTTAAAAACAAACAAAAGCGCACTGCTGTTGATTTCTCTTTCCCACAAAGGCCATGCTTATATTCATTCTTTAGAAGCCAGTTGACTTTCACAAGCACAGAATTCACACTTCCGTTCTACCGTTTAAAGTCAAGAGAAATCAACAAGTATTTACTGATTAGTAAATAACAGTAGAAGATGATAGGACAAAACAGAAGCAAGAAATACAAGTTTGACATTACCCCGTAAACTTTTCAAAAAATTCAGAAGAAGTTTAGCTACTTTGCTAGCAAGTTAGTACAAAACCAAGGTTTTTACAAAAAAATAAGCTTATGCTTTTATAACAAATGGTATCAAGGCACTTAATGTTTCTACAGTTGGCAGAAGTTGTCTCCACTGACGTACTTGTGCCAATAAAACACTCAAAGCAGCTCTAAAGCTTTTCATTGTCATTTAGGACAGAAAGTCAAAGTTTATCACTAGAATCGAAAGCAGGAAGTGTAGCAGGTGTAGTGTGATCCCTTAAAATGAAATTTTCAATCTTCATCTTCACAACAAATTCATTGCGAATTGTATAGATATCATAATTACATGCAATTTACGTGAATCCCTCTGTCATATACTTGCTAGGTTAGCTAAAACACCAGTCATAACTTCATCACCACTTACACGTGAAAAACCATGTTGGGTAACTAAATCGGCATCAGAAAAGCAGGCCTGGAAAGCTGATGAACTCAATAGTTTGGGCTTTTTGTTTAAAGAAAGTACTATCTTACAGAAATATAAACAATGAAGCACAGAAAAATGTTCAACATATATTCCCGTTGCACAAATTAATATTTGAATTGTGTGCAACTCCAGTTTTTAAGTGTTATAAAATGTAGTAAGAAATTACTTCCAAATACATCACACTTCTGCAGAAAGATAATTTTTTTGTAGTGTACAGTCTACTGTGGAAAGGGATAACTTTATCATTGCTTTTGCATATGTAATGATTTTTTTTCTTTCTATAACAATACTTCATGAAATATATTCACATCTGATGCACTGAAGAGAAAAAAAGATGCTATAACAGCTGAGTGAGACTTGGGATACCACATTTGCAGACATCTGTGATTATCTCCATCATCTATTTGTTTGAAAATTCTCCATCTGAAAATCCTTATTGCTCTAAGATCCAATAGAGAATATTGTCTCATGTATGACAAGTGTTTAAACAAGCACCCCCAAACAACTCTTTCTGAGGAATGACTACTCAGCTTGGACTGTTGGCTCAGCTGTAAATGGAATATCACATGCTAAGTTAAATATTCACACTTGGAAGTGGACAACTACTGACCTAGTGCCTATACAACACACTTTGTACTAGAAAGCAAAAACAAACAAAAAAGTGTCTCAAAGTAATATGCATCTACATAAGGATTATTCATCCCATAATAGAAACAAAGTTTAAGTATGCAGGTCACACAGCACCAACTATTATCCACACTGAAATAATCTACATAACACAGAAGACAATGAAAATCCTGAATTTTATAAATCATAATGTTAGGTAAACCTGTTAAAAAAACCCCACAACTAAACAACACAGACCCAACACCTCCTGGGAGTGTCCTCATTTCTGAATTTATATGAAATCTTTTAAGAATTTGTAAAATACTCAGAAAAAGTAGAATTATAAGGTATTGCATATACTACATTGAGAACAAAGATATAAAGTTATTACTAGAGGCATCTAATATAAGTTATGGCTCTTTCTAATCACATTTTTTAAAAGAATTAAAAATCATAGGACACACCAAAGTTAAATTCTTATCCCCATACATCGCTAGGAAGGCTGTACATCGGAAAAACCCTTGCTGAAGTATGCACGCAGTTTCATTGTTGAATCAAAAACTCTTCTTAATGAAGTACTTAATGACTATGCAAAAGTTGATTTGGTGCAGTCAAAGCAAAACCTTTACAGAGAGTAACCTACTGAATAACAATTCATGTATGATGACACAAACATTAAAGGAAAAATTACATGAAAATTCAGATGTTCGATGAAGACAGCATCACATCTAGCTAGGAATCAGTCAGCCAGTCAGCTCACAGACTATTTTGAAAAATGGCCTGCCATTTTTGCACAGAAAATAGTCTTGGTTGTTATTATGGACTGACATAGAAGGAAAAAAATGCTCTGTATGCATATGTTGTCCTCTAGAATATATATTTATTTTTCTTTGCTACTACACATAGAAGAATTATATCTAGTCAGAAATATAGGAATTTGAATTTTTACACATTTCACCATCTTCTGCTGGGGTGCTGGGGCTGGAAGACCCCAAGGACTCTTGAGCTTTAATTTAAAATATAAGGAGAGAAAATAAAAAGCCTTTGACCTTCAGAAGCCTGGAAAAATTAGGTATTCCTAGCAGCTGTACAAATTAAGTCACAGAGTTTAAACCATGAGCTTGCAGCTGCTTCAGGGAAAGAAAGTGAGGGGAGGAAGTGTTCCTCACCTACTATTACATTACATTCGTAAAGGGAGGAGAAGGATTGGACATGTATTAGTAAATTCTTCAAGAGTGCTTCTATTAGTTCATAAAGACTGCTTCTGAGTTTTAGAAATCAGTTAGGTAGCTTTAGAAAGTAGTGTCGCACTAAAGATTTGGGGTTCATTCCAGCACTCTTATTTACATTATATATTTTCTTCCTTCAGAAACATCCAGTACTCACTGTAAAAGATTCGGAATCTAGCTCAAGATATTTAGAGCTTTAAAACTCAAAGACATAAAATTTTAAAGAAAAAGACAAATTTAAGACCAGAGTAGTTTCCTCATTTTGAAAATTCCCTTTGCAGGATTACAGCCTCAGAAAGTAGCCCTTTATTCACTTTATTCACCCTCTAACTATGTCTCCTACCAGGCAAGACTGATACCACTGGTTATTCTTTCAGTTCCTCCAAGTTTCTCATTACAAAATCATATTTTATGTATCTTTATAATTGCCAAATTTTAACTGTTAAAATGTTAAATGCTAAAATGTTCTTTGCAATAATCAAGACTAGGTTTTCTTGACAGGTAACAGTCAGAATTCAGTTCAGTCATTTCTGGTAATGAACTAAGAAGATATATTGGTCAGACTGTTTGTTATTATAATGTTAACTATTTCCTTGTTCTAAATGAGGCTGTCATTTTCAGGTGATTTAGAATTTACATTTAAAAAATTAAAACGAAATAAAGGTGACTTACCTATTCTGTCTTAAATATTTTTAATGCTACTGCATGATACTGTCACCACAATTCAAATTTGAAGTGGACTGATCATCATTAATGGATAAAATTGCGTTTTCCTTTTTTATGTACATGACACTATAAAACCCAGGTTTGGCCTTATAAATCTGAAAAATTGCAGGTTTTGCTTGCTCAGTTGAGACAACCTAGATTTTTAGTACCTGATTTTCTCAGTGGTTCTGTTTGTAATGCAGATGTTTCCACCTGGATGAACTGGCCTGTCCTTGCAACTGCAGTTTTGAGATGCAGCAGATGATTAGTTCGTTAAAAATCAATAGAGCTTAGGCAACACACAGATGAAAGTATATTACAAAGGAAAGAAAATGCTGGAACTATTGACAGGAAAGAGGTAAAAGAAAATTAATCTCTTCAACTACTCTATTAGACACAGTTGGTAAAGATAAAGGCTGAAAAAGACAAAGAATTTACTGGCATTCAAGGAAAATTCTGAACCTTGGGATCTGGAGTGCAGAAGTTGGCTTAAGTCAAATGAAAGCAAGTCAGAAAATCGGAACCGATTGGGCTGGGAAAGAGACTAAGACTGGGAACTGCAAAGACAGGTAAGATAATATTAAGACTTAAGAGACAGGAACCAAGGCTGCCAGCTACCTGGAATGATCAAATTTTCTAACAATTTAAAAACTGTTTCATTTTACATACATGGTCAAGTAAGAGAGTTTTCTACTTAGCTTGCTTTCTTCCACACATTTCCATATTTGGAAAAAATATCAAAGCAGGTTTTGGTTAGTAGCTGCTTGACCCTATTTTCCACAAAATTATATAAAAAATAGTGGTTTTATGAACTCCCTAGGGAAGTTTTTCAGCCTATGTTTATTTAAGGGTCTTAATCATAGAGTTTTTTGTTCTGACTATAAAATGTATTGCTGTTTGAAGTATTGCTGATGACAAGACACACAGTACTTGCCTCTTTAAGGCAGGCACTTCTTATTCAAGCTAAGAATCATGGCTCCAAACAGTAACGTGACTTGATGTGGATGGGTAAGTCATCTGACCATGACTGAACAGAATTACTTTCACCATACAACAAAATTATGATTTCTTCCTGTTGAAATGCCTAGTCTACCCACCATCCTTCAACCCCTCCCTTTTCTGATCCAAGAACAAGGCACATTCTAAGGGGACAT